TTGGCCTCGTCGCTGGAGCGAGTGGAGATGGGCTCAGGGTTCTTCTCGCCGTCGCCTGTCTCCTGAGTCTTCACATCGTCCACGGAGCGCTGACTGTCGCGTGAATCGGAGCTGCAATCCTTGAGGGAGTGGGGTCGGGGAATCAGCTTCTTGTCCTTGCGCTCGCACTCACCAACGGCGGTCAGCCAGTTCTTGTACTCGTTGCGGGACTTGCGGATCAGAGTGTCGAACTCCTCGAATCGCTGCTCGTAGTCCGCCTGGAACTGCTCGTTGTCTGCTGAGCGGGCCAGAATCGTCTGCTCAATGCTGACAATGCAGGCGTCCATCAGATCGGAGCAGGCGGCCACCAGAAAGGCATGCAATGAGTATACCTTGGGCGAGTTGATCATCTTGAGCTTGGAAAGGCAGAAAAACAAGATCGAGATGATCTTGTAAATGCTCGGCTCCGGCATTCGCAGCTGCTGCGAGCAGAGAATCTTACGCAAGTCAATCAGGACACAGTGACAGAGGGCATTGAAGTCGGGAACCTCTTTGTCGAAGAAGAAGATGTCCACGATCAGATAGAATCGGGCGAAGAAGTCTTCAATGTTGAAGTCGAGCTTGTTTGGGTCCATCTGCTCCAAGTACTCGGTGTGCTTGGCGAAGAGCTTGTTGAGATTGTTCTCGCTCAGCTCGAAGGGGATGATGCAGACCAACGAGTACAGATAATGGTAAGTGGAGTCCAGATCGTAGTTCTGGCCGTAGTACAGGGTGCCCAGCTGGTTCTGCGCCATGCCGATGGCCGGGTTGAGCTTAAAGGCCTCCAAATAGTACTTGGCCACCTGTTCCTTGCTGATGCTCAGCTTGCTGTCGATGCGGAAATCAAGAAAGTAGCGATGAAGGTCGCCCAGGCTCAGCAGCGATGAGTGTATGGTGTCCAGGGCAAAGGACACGGCTTCCAGGCTCTTGTCCACGGCTTGTGTGCAGGAGTTCGACGGCTCCTTGGGCTCCCCTATCATGTCGCTGATGTAGCCATCGCTTATGATGGAGAAGTCGATGAGATACTTGAGATCCAAGTCATAGATCTCCTCCATCTTGGAGGACAGTCGTTTGTAGTTGAAGATCCCCGCGCAGAGAAAGCGCTCCAGCTTCTGCATATTCTCCTGCGCGGTGGCTGCGTCCACGCCTTGCTTGTGCCAGTTCTTCTTGACGAAAGCTATAAATTCGTAATAGCCGCGTCGCCACATTACCTCCCGGATCTTCTTTCCCACCGATTGATAATCCTTAAAGATGATTTCCTTGCACAGTTGCACCAGCAGTGAGCGCTTCTCTTCGATCTCGTGCTGGAACAGTTGCTCCACGCTTTGCACATTTTTCTTGGCTTCATCCAGCTGCTTCGAGGCAGTGTACAGGGATCTGTCCAAGGCAATCACATTACTTTCGGCTCATTTTCTGGCACTCGTACAAATCTGGATTACCTGTACAAATCCTTCACCTCCTGGCTAAGCAGGGCAGCACCGTTGCCGTTGCCGTTTCCGCAGTGCCCGTTGCTGTTGAACGCGGGCTCCAGGCAGCGGCTTCTAGTGTTTCCCGCCTCCATGGCGCACTCGCTGGAGGCATTCGAGCCGCCCGAGCTAAGTGTCGCCTCCATATCGGACGAACGAAGATCTGGGGTAGAAAAGGAATGCAAATTTTGAGTTCTGCGCACATGTGACGTGACCATAAAATACATAAAATTTCTCTACAACACTACTATACTCGCATGAGCGTACAAATGTAGGTGGTGTGGTTTGGTCTTCCAGCTGTTTCTCGAAATTCCACCGTATTCTTTTTTGCTGACGAATTGTTGTTCAAATGAAATTTCTTTTCACGTTTACGTTGTACGGCTTTGTTGTTGTTTTTAGCTTCAACTGATGACGCACACACATACACGCGCAGCTTCGTTGATGGTGTTTCATTGAATAATCAATTAAACACGGTGTTGCCTGCTTTTCTTGCGCTGCCACTCGCGTGCTTCTGCAGCTGCTGCTGCACTGGTATTTTCAATGTGGCGAAATAATCCATGCACCACCCATCTGCCATCCACTCAGGTAGTCGATAAGCTGTTTACCTGCATGATATGCATTACCTTTTATCAGTTTTAGATTGTTTTATGAGGCGCGTTTCTGCAAAATTCACGTTTTGCGTTTCTTTGTTTGGCCACCAGAAAGATACCGTCCGACCCTCAGAAATATACCGAAATATACCGTCTAATTTAAAAAATATACCGTAAATATACTGACGAATTCAAATTATATTTTACATATTCTTCGTTTTTGATCTTCCGCCAAATATTGCTAGCTATATAGCACATCTAGCCATGCCCACATAATTTTATACGATTCACGTAAAATTTTTCTATTTAACTGGTGTATTCTTAATACTTGCTTTTATTGCATTTTACGTAAAAAGAGGTTTTAGCGAAATAAGTCAAACAAAAAACAAGTAGCGAAATAGGTCAATCAAGACAAACGAAAAAGGAAATTGCTCAATTTTGATATTCCATTGAATAATGCTGACTAACTAAATTTCTCAGCAATGCCCACATAGTCTTATCCCATTGATGAATCAATTTTCTACAAGATTGGATAATTTGTAATCCTTGCCTTTATTGTATTTATTGTATAAAAAAGGTTTAAACGAAAAAGTTCAACAAAAAAAGAGTCGCTATATTGCGTGTAAGCCGTAGTATAGGCCTTGGTATACTCTATTTTGTTAATTTTATATGAAAGTATAAATATTGATATGAAGATAAAACGTAACTAATAAAGACCTTTTCTCAAATTGATATTTTTTAGACATATTCATGTATATGATGAGTGTTTTGTATACATAACTCGATCCTGATACCTATTCTTGGCCTCTGCAAGAAGACAATAAGCTTTGAAATTTAGTTGAACTATGGAAAATAACATTAAATAATATTGAATAATATTAAAATATATTGAAAATAAATTGTTTTTGCCTGGGATGACAAAAATATTCACAATTCTATAACATCCATTTACCCCAGGGTATGTGTGCATGGAATGGGACTCATTGTTGTGAACCGGTATTACAGATTCTAGCCATGCCCACATAATTTTATACGATTTATGAATAATTTTTCTATTTAAGTGGTGTAATCTTAATACTTGCTTTTATTGCATTTTGCGTAAAAAGAGGTTTTAGCGAAAAGAGAGCTAGTCCCAAAAAAAGAGAGAAACGCCAAACGATACTTCTTATGACAGAAAGTTAACGTTCAGACAGATGTTGCATGATGCATGATGCTCTAAAACACTATTTTTATTCTTCTTCGCTTAAAGTTTAGGTGAGCCCAAAACATATAAAACATGCAGTGTGATCGAGTACACCAACAATTATACATATTTATTGGGTCTGCGTGTTTTTAACCTATACTCGGCATTGAGGTGTGGTGGAATACGTTTCAGGCGAAAACGTGCAGATTCTTGCTTGAACGTGTTTATGGCGTCATGCATAGGTAGTGTTGATAAACGCATTTATTACTTGACGATGGCATATTGTAGGTTTATGGGCGCGATTTTCAAATGTTAGTTTTTGTTAATTGAAGAACAAAAATAACTATTTCAGCACAAAGGAAAAATTACTATAGCTTGTCGGACCTTGCGGTTACTCTTAAGTGAAAGGGTCCATAGACAGAGTGATCAATTGTTGATTGTCGGCCGTTTTAAGTGACAGACGTGTGTGGGGAACAAAATTATATATTTCAGTTGCTCGAAAATTTTTAGTGATCCGGTTTCGACGTTCAAGTCAGTGAGGGTAAGTCCGAGGATAGAAAGGAAAAAGAGAGAAGGAGTGCGTGGTTGAGAATGCTCCGAGTGATATATTAAGTTCATAGTTGAATGTCAGCCGCTAGATTTAAATATATATACATATATACCCATTTGACATGTGGAAAACGCCAGAAATAGCCGGAAAATAACTAAATTGGCAACACCGCCCCGATTTTGAAGAAGGAGGTTCGAATACAGTCCCAGCACCGCCCACTCAACGCCAGCAAAATAAATTAAAAAATCGAGCACAATATATTTTTCTGGCTCACACTGCCTTCTTTTCTCCTATATTTTGTAGATATATGTACATATGTATGTATACTGACTGAGCACGGGTTATTGTAGTGGAGCGGCAGTAGTGGTATTGTATTGTTTGCAAGTGTGGACACTAGTATTATCTAAGCTGAGGGTTATAGCTATAACCATAGCTATAGGCTATAGCTCACATCAGATAATCCGGGTTTGTTTGATCGATCAAGCTTGTTTGTTTTTATATATAGTATATGTAATATCGTGGTCCAATTTGAACCACATCTTTGTGAGTTAAGCACAAACATGTACATACATAATCGTATGTAATTACAAAAATGAGTACATAACCAACATTTTTTGAAAAAATATTTTTTGGTAAGCTAAAGCGAAAGTATGTATGTACATATGTTGGTTGTATCTGTTAGTTTTTTTGTATAAAGATCGGCGCGAGACTTATTGCAAGGGCTGACCGAAAATCTAAGAAGACAGCCAGAGTGGATGATAGAAGGAGAGCGTCAGAGCAGAGTATCTCATGGCTGCTGCTAAGCCGAGCACGAGCAATAGATAAAGAGACAGAGCGCGAGAGAACAACTATAGGATGGTTGGATGCTATAGGCAATAGCTGCGGAAACGAAACGAAGAAGGCTAGATAGAAAGAACGGCCGCTGCCGTGCGTAAGCATACATATGCGGTTAACAGTGCGGTTCATCTACAGGGGGCAGTGCAAATAGCGAATAATTAAAGAGATTTACGTTGGACTGCGCGACTATGATTTAGGCTGGGAAACCCGGCAACATCAACATTATTGACACATCGATCGAGGCAGCTTTATGATATATGAATGTACATATATGTATGTCCGATCCACCCGATTCCGAAAAATGATCTGGAAGATGTGGGCAGCTTTTAACTCAGGCGACAGTGTGCGCAGAGTGTTGAATGCTTCTTTAGCCCAGGTCCGCTTTCAGCTCCTCTTTCAGCTATTTGTATGTAGTGTGCTCGAGCCTTACGGTTTATCGACCCTTCTGAAGGCACTATAAAACAAAGTTGTCTTCTAAATTGCATGGCAAGCATACATCACTGTCGAATGCATTACCTGGAGCAAGCGCTGCAGTCAAACCCCGCTGTGACATGTTGCACGAAGTAATCCCCTGCGTCAACAGATAAGTGAAATATGGAAAGTACATTTACCACGCCCAGGTAGTTATCCCTATCTCCACGCCAAAGAGCCAAAAATGATTTAGAGTTATTTTTTTTATATTCTGTTAAATTTAAAAATTATCACCTTGTGTTTGCATCTCTCTGCTTTAATCCTCCTTCGGTATTTGCTAATTAGGGAGCCAGCGAAGAAATGTGCCAGGCATATTAATGAGCCCCGGGGCGGCTGAGACTGGGGCTGAGCTCCGTATCTCCCCAGAGCCTCGGGCTTGGGTGCGCTGCGCTCCCATTTAGAATAAGTAATGCTCGCATATATCTATCTATCTTTATGTTTCTCTCCGAGACGGCCAGTCGGTTGATTAGCTCCGGTCACGTCGTTCGTTCCGCGTCGCGATGCGCTGCGATCGGCTGGCTCAGGCTTATAATGGTTCGGTCGGCCGATTCAGATTGCCGCTCGTGGCTATAAAACCCACGCAATGTCATCCAAACATTTTCATTTTCAGTTCGTTTGCGGGCCGGTGAAGTTCTTTCTGTTCGGCGGAACTCGTTTGGCACATCACACACGCTCAGAACGTAAGTTTCTCTTTTTGATTGAGCATTCGCCTTGCAATTAGCGAGCAAAACAATTGACGTTAATTGAATTACGATCGCAATTGTTGGTTATAATCAATTTAGTGATCGTGATGTAATTACTTGTTCAAGTTATTGCTTCGTTTGACGGCTTCAATATCAATACGGTTATCTACTATAAATTCCACTTTCCACTATAATCCAACTCCAATCTTATCTGGATCAGCCAATACACAGCTCGGACAATATTTACTAAAAGTCATTGGTACGGTCGGTCATAAATTCTCTTGAATATCTCACATTTGCGGTAGTAAGCCCCCTTATCTGGGATATTTACGATCTTTTTATCGGTTCTTGTGTGTCGGTTTATTGGCTTTTCCTGCAGGATTGGTAGTTTCTACTTCTATAGGTTACTCTACTTTAGAGCGGAAAATTGCTCACCGAGTAGCTAATGATATGGCTGTGAAGCACAACTAATTGGAATAAATCAGAGTTTGACAGGTTTATTTTAGAACTTCACCGCAAATTGCTTCCATAATTGCACAATCTTTTTTTTTCGTTTGTCGGGCGTAAATTGATTTTGTAAGTTCGAGTACGAGTACAAGTGAAACTAATCAACAGCCTATAAATGACGATTTGCTATCGCGGTGATATTTCAAGTGCCATTGCGAATCTGTTGTTGCTGCAAAATCCACTCAGTAAATATTATAGAGAGAATATAGAGAGCGAGATGACCCCAGAGACACTTTAATTAATTACGAGGAAAGACAGTGCCTCTCAGACACTCTCTGAATGGCACAACATCCCATCAAAATGGAATCGATTATAATCTAAACTAAAAAATGTTGACTTAATTTCTGTAGGCGAGCGCTTTGGAGAACAATATGAGAGTGTTTCTCGTAGCCCTGCTGGCTACGTTGGCGGTGAGTCTGAAAACCACATCTTGACAAATAGGTTCCATATCTAAATTGTGGTAAACATTCTCTGACTAGCTCGCGCAAGCCCTGGTGAAGGAGGAGATTCAAGCCAAAGAGTATTTGGAGAATCTGAACAAGGAGCTGGCCAAGCGCACCAACGTGGAGACAGAGGCTTCCTGGGCGTATGCTTCGAACATCAACGATGAGAACGAAAAGAAAAAGAACGAGATCTCTGCTGAGTTGGCAAAATTCATGAAGGAGGTGTCAAGCGATATACAGAAATTCCAGTGGCGCAGTTACCAGTCGGAGGATATCAAGAGACAATTCAAGGCTCTGTCTAAGCTCGGATATGCCGCCCTGCCCGAGGCGGAGTATACCGATTTCTTGGAAACCATATCCGCCATGGAATCGAACTTTGCCAAAGTGAAGGTCTGCGACTACAAGGACAAGTCGAAATGTGATCTGGCCCTGGAGCCAGAGATAGAAGAGATCATCAGCAAGAGCCGGGACCACGAGGAGCTCAAGTACTACTGGCGCGAGTTCTACGACAAGGCAGGCACGGCCGTGCGCTCCAATTTCGAGCGCTATGTGGAGCTGAACACCAAGGCTGCCAAACTGAACAGTATGTTGCGACTGGCTGGAGACTTCTCTGAAATCATTTTCACACTTCTCCCTTCTGTCAGATTTCACCTCTGGCGCTGAGCTCTGGCTGGATGAGTACGAGGACGACACCTTCGAACAGCAGTTGGATAACATCTTCGCCGAAATCCGCCCGCTCTACGAACAGATCCATGGCTATGTGCGCTACCGCCTGAGGAAGTATTACGGCAACGAGGTGGTCTCTGAGAACGGACCCATTCCCATGCATCTTCTTGGCAACATGTGGGCGCAGCAATGGTCTGAGATCGCGGACATTGTTTCTCCCTTCCCCGAGAAGCCACTGGTGGATGTTACCGAAGAAATGGAGAAACAAGGATATACCCCCCTCAAGATGTTCCAAATGGGCGATGACTTTTTCACCTCGATGAACCTCACCAAATTGCCGAAGTAAGATTGAAGATTGCTATAATTCTATGTTGAACCTGGATCCAAATCTATTTGATCTACAATAGGGATTTCTGGGACAAGTCTATCATCGAGAAGCCTACGGATGGTCGCGACTTGATATGCCATGCCAGCGCCTGGGACTTTTACCTTCAGGACGATGTCCGCATCAAGCAGTGCACCCGCGTCACCCAGGATCAACTTTTCACAGTCCACCACGAGCTGGGACATATTCAGTATTTCCTTCAGTATCAGCACCTACCCTTTGTCTATCGGACCGGGGCTAATCCTGGCTTCCATGAAGCCGTTGGGGATGTGCTCTCCCTGTCCGTGTCCACGCCCAAGCATCTGGAGAAGATCGGCCTGCTGTCGAACTATGTTCGCGATGACGAGGCCCGGATCAACCAGCTCTTCCTCACGGCTCTGGACAAGATCGTGTTCCTTCCGTTTGCTTTCACCATGGACAAGTACCGATGGGCGCTGTTCCGCGGGGAGGTCGAGAAGGCAAATTGGAACTGTGAGTTCTGGAAGCTGCGTGAGCAGTACTCCGGCATCGAGCCTCCGGTTGTGCGTAGCGAGAAAGACTTCGACCCCCCCGCCAAATATCATGTCTCAGCGGATGTCGAGTATCTGAGGTTTGTTGGGTCATTTCTCGATGATGATGAGCTTCATGTGTGACGTGATTTGGTGGTTTTTCGCAGGTACCTGGTCTCCTTCATCATCCAGTTCCAGTTCTACAAGTCCGCCTGCATTAAGGCTGGTCAATACGATACCAACAATGCGGAGCTGCCCCTTGACAACTGTGATATCTACGGCAGTGCAGCAGCAGGCGAAGCCTTCCAGTAAGGATTGCTCTCAAATAAGTTACATTGTTTTCTAATCCATGGGGATCCTTTTGTCCACTCCACAGTAACATGCTCTCTATGGGTGCCTCCAAGCCCTGGCCCGATGCACTGGAGGCCTTCAACGGGGAGCGCATCATGAGTGGCAAGGCCATTGCCGAATACTTCGAACCCCTTCGCGTCTGGCTGGAGGCGGAGAACATCAAGAACAGTGTTCACATCGGCTGGACCGCTTCAGATAGTAAGTTATATACTCCCGATCCACTATTGAACTCTCGAATAATCCATTACTTTTCTCCCCCTTTACTTCAGAGTGTGTGGCCTCTTAATTAAAATACCTTCTGTTCTCTCACAGTTCATTGCTCAATAAAGTTTATAATTGCCTTACCAGTTTTAAATTATTTATACGAACGAGTTTTTATGAGCTTCTACATTCAAATGTTTGTATACCCTCGTAACACAGAGAGTACACGTCGAATTGGTAGGTATGCTTTTTGCGTAAAATCTAATTCTCATTCTAGTACAAGCGTATCTAATACAAGGATGGATTGGCTTCGTTGGTCGAAAACACTCAAGCTAAGTTAGTTTATTCCTCGTACACATCTCGCCTCAGTCAGCCAAAAGCTGAGCACAGGGAACACTGGCACAGTGTCATACCCGCTCCGTGCTCCACTTGATTATAATTAAAAATTGGCTACTGGGTGCTCAGCCAATAGTCGACTGGGCTTCTGGCCATGGCCTCTGTCGTCGGCCTCCGTTGGTTAGTTGGTATCGAGAGCTGCGCCGGCGCAGAACGTCTGAAAAAGTTTGCGAAGGTTGGATATTGTGCCGGGAATTTAAATGAACCACGACTGAGTTGCGAAAGTAAATTTGTACGAGTAGAAAGTGTGGGACTATGGGGATGTTGTTGGTGGTTTTGGTGAGTCCAAGCGCCGTTGAAGTGTTGCCCAAAGGAGATGATTTCAACATGACATCCCTTCCATTCAGATCTTTGTAGGCTTTGTCCTGCCTAGTTCCTCGACCGACTCTACTTTGACTACCTTCCTCGTAGAGGCCAACCAACAACTGGCCGGCATCTATGATCAGGTGGTCTTGGCCCAGTTGCAGAATGAGTTACGTGGATCCAACGATGTTGTAGCTCTCCTCGAGATGGAAATAGCGGACGAAAAGCTGCTGAACTACCTAAAATCTCTGATGCCTCATCTGGCAAAGTTCAAGCGTTTGAAGTTGGGGGATGCCAGCCAGAAGAGGCAGCTGGAGAGGATACCGAGGCTGGGCTACAATGCCTTGGATGGCATGGAGCTCGCTCAAGTTTATGCGCTCGCCTCCAACATGAGCGACAGCTACCGCAACGTCCTACTATGCGCTTATAAGCAGCCAGGGAATTGCACTTTGCGGCTAATACCAGAGGTTCAGGCAATAGTCCAGGAGAGCCGTGACCTGGATGAGATCGAGTACTACTGGTATGAGTGGCGAAAGCAGACTGGACTGGCCACTCGGGATCAGTTTGTGGCCTTCATGGAGTTGTATAAGAAGACCGCCCAACTTAATGGATATCCGCGGGCCCAAGATTATTGGTTCCTATCGCTGGAGATGGGCGGAGCGCAGACCATGTCATTGCTGGATCGGCTGATGGCTGGACTGAGGCCGTTGTTCCTTCAGTTCCACGCTCATGTTAGGGGTTCCTTGAGAAAGATGCACGGAGAACGGTTGGTGCCCCGGGGCAGACCGTATCCACAGCATCTGGCCGAGGTCTTCATAGGAAACGCCTTTAGACGGGTTCGTGCCGAGTGGTATGTGGACTTACCATCGCCCCTGGCGGGGCTGGCAAATATCACCCAAGACCTCCATCGTCGCGGGTTGAGCACTACGCAGAGAGTGTTCTGGAATGTGGCCGAGTACTTTAGGGGACTTGGTCTGCCATTGCTGGAAAGGTAATTCCGATAAAACAGATATTCTCCAGCAAGGAATTTTCAAAGTGATCTCTTCCAGCTCCCTTTGGACAAATGCTCAGGTCGTGGCTGCTGATGATGACGACCGTTGCTGGCACAAGGTCTGGCGGTATTACACCCTTCCCATAACCAACTTCACCTACTGTCCCCTAAATGACGAGGAGCGTTTCCTCAATATGTTTGAGGCCCAGAGTGATCTTTATTACAACCGAGCTGCCTCCGGCCAGCCAACCCTGTTGCGCGATGAACCCTTTCCCAGCTTCGGCGATGCCATTGGCAAGTGCTTCTCCCTGGCGGCCACCTCTCCACGCTACCTTCAGAAGTTGGGCTTGCTGCAGGAGGGAAAGTGGCTCGAGTTGCCCGCTCGACTGAACCGCTTGTATGTGCACGGTCTGCGTGTGGTCTTCCTGCTGCCCGTCTTCTATGTCCTCGATCGCTATCGTGTGGAGGTCCTAAGTGGACACATCCGAGCGGACGACAACGAGGCCTACTGGCGACTGACGGAACATTACACGGGAGCGGCAGCCCCTCGGAAACGCAGTAACGAACAGTTTGACGTCCCAGCCAAGTTGCTTATGGAGGTGGATGACCAGTATGCCAGGTTGAAAGCCTATGTGGAGAATCTCCTAGCAAATGTCTTGATCAATTATCCCTTTCAGCAACATCCTGAGCACCGTTCTACAGTTTCAGCTGCTCAAGCATTACTGCACAACGACGCTTCAGTTCGGAAAGGATAACCCTAGGAAAGCTTTGGATCTCTGCGATCTTTCCGACCAGCGTCAGATCGGTGCCAGTCTACAGCGTGCCATGGCACTAGGCTCATCCGTGCCCTACAGCGACGTCCTGCAGGAGTTGGTGGGTGAGCCGGAGATCAATATTGATGGGTTGTTGGCCTACTTCAAGCCCCTACACGATTGGTTGGTGCAGCAGAATCAGCTACAAAATCTGGATGTGGGTTGGGCATAGAATACATAGTATTAAAAGAAAAAATGAATTTTTTGTTTCTGAAATCCCATAAGGTTACAAAAATCAGAGTGAAACCATCGAAAATTGGGGCGTTGACTGTCAAGAGTAATGTGTTGTTGAGCCTTTGTATACGCATATCTCGGGAAAATGTTTCACTTTTGGGGAAATAGGTCCTTCCCCATACTATTCTAGGGCTAGACGGTAATTGGGAAATATAGTTTATATCAGTATTTTGGTGCCCTTCTCCTACCTGGAAGTAGGGAACAGGATGTTTTTTTTACCTACTATTGAATCTTTTTCGTTTACAACGCTTCTGTTTAACAGCATTTTTATTTTTCGATGAAGATAATGAGTGGTTGGGAATTTCCAACTCAGCCTGAAAGTATGCTTATTATTGAATAATAGAATTCATGTTAAAATCATATGGAAATGTGGTCTCTGAGAACGGACCCATTCCCATGCATCTTCTTGGCAACATGTGGGCGCAGCAATGGTCTGAGATCGCGGACATTGTTTCTCCCTTCCCCGAGAAGCCACTGGTGGATGTTACCGAAGAAATGGAGAAACAAGGATATACCCCCCTCAAGATGTTCCAAATGGGCGATGACTTTTTCACCTCGATGAACCTCACCAAATTGCCGAAGTAAGATTGAAGATTGCTATAATTCTATGTTGAACCTGGATCCAAATCTATTTGATCTACAATAGGGATTTCTGGGACAAGTCTATCATCGAGAAGCCTACGGATGGTCGCGACTTGATATGCCATGCCAGCGCCTGGGACTTTTACCTTCAGGACGATGTCCGCATCAAGCAGTGCACCCGCGTCACCCAGGATCAACTTTTCACAGTCCACCACGAGCTGGGACATATTCAGTATTTCCTTCAGTATCAGCACCTACCCTTTGTCTATCGGACCGGGGCTAATCCTGGCTTCCATGAAGCCGTTGGGGATGTGCTCTCCCTGTCCGTGTCCACGCCCAAGCATCTGGAGAAGATCGGCCTGCTGTCGAACTATGTTCGCGATGACGAGGCCCGGATCAACCAGCTCTTCCTCACGGCTCTGGACAAGATCGTGTTCCTTCCGTTTGCTTTCACCATGGACAAGTACCGATGGGCGCTGTTCCGCGGGGAGGTCGAGAAGGCAAATTGGAACTGTGAGTTCTGGAAGCTGCGTGAGCAGTACTCCGGCATCGAGCCTCCGGTTGTGCGTAGCGAGAAAGACTTCGACCCCCCCGCCAAATATCATGTCTCAGCGGATGTCGAGTATCTGAGGTTTGTTGGGTCATTTCTCGATGATGATGAGCTTCATGTGTGACGTGATTTGGTGGTTTTTCGCAGGTACCTGGTCTCCTTCATCATCCAGTTCCAGTTCTACAAGTCCGCCTGCATTAAGGCTGGTCAATACGATACCAACAATGCGGAGCTGCCCCTTGACAACTGTGATATCTACGGCAGTGCAGCAGCAGGCGAAGCCTTCCAGTAAGGATTGCTCTCAAATAAGTTACATTGTTTTCTAATCCATGGGGATCCTTTTGTCCACTCCACAGTAACATGCTCTCTATGGGTGCCTCCAAGCCCTGGCCCGATGCACTGGAGGCCTTCAACGGGGAGCGCATCATGAGTGGCAAGGCCATTGCCGAATACTTCGAACCCCTTCGCGTCTGGCTGGAGGCGGAGAACATCAAGAACAGTGTTCACATCGGCTGGACCGCTTCAGATAGTAAGTTATATACTCCCGATCCACTATTGAACTCTCGAATAATCCATTACTTTTCTCCCCCTTTACTTCAGAGTGTGTGGCCTCTTAATTAAAATACCTTCTGTTCTCTCACAGTTCATTGCTCAATAAAGTTTATAATTGCCTTACCAGTTTTAAATTATTTATACGAACGAGTTTTTATGAGCTTCTACATTCAAATGTTTGTATACCCTCGTAACACAGAGAGTACACGTCGAATTGGTAGGTATGCTTTTTGCGTAAAATCTAATTCTCATTCTAGTACAAGCGTATCTAATACAAGGATGGATTGGCTTCGTTGGTCGAAAACACTCAAGCTAAGTTAGTTTATTCCTCGTACACATCTCGCCTCAGTCAGCCAAAAGCTGAGCACAGGGAACACTGGCACAGTGTCATACCCGCTCCGTGCTCCACTTGATTATAATTAAAAATTGGCTACTGGGTGCTCAGCCAATAGTCGACTGGGCTTCTGGCCATGGCCTCTGTCGTCGGCCTCCGTTGGTTAGTTGGTATCGAGAGCTGCGCCGGCGCAGAACGTCTGAAAAAGTTTGCGAAGGTTGGATATTGTGCCGGGAATTTAAATGAACCACGACTGAGTTGCGAAAGTAAATTTGTACGAGTAGAAAGTGTGGGACTATGGGGATGTTGTTGGTGGTTTTGGTGAGTCCAAGCGCCGTTGAAGTGTTGCCCAAAGGAGATGATTTCAACATGACATCCCTTCCATTCAGATCTTTGTAGGCTTTGTCCTGCCTAGTTCCTCGACCGACTCTACTTTGACTACCTTCCTCGTAGAGGCCAACCAACAACTGGCCGGCATCTATGATCAGGTGGTCTTGGCCCAGTTGCAGAATGAGTTACGTGGATCCAACGATGTTGTAGCTCTCCTCGAGATGGAAATAGCGGACGAAAAGCTGCTGAACTACCTAAAATCTCTGATGCCTCATCTGGCAAAGTTCAAGCGTTTGAAGTTGGGGGATGCCAGCCAGAAGAGGCAGCTGGAGAGGATACCGAGGCTGGGCTACAATGCCTTGGATGGCATGGAGCTCGCTCAAGTTTATGCGCTCGCCTCCAACATGAGCGACAGCTACCGCAACGTCCTACTATGCGCTTATAAGCAGCCAGGGAATTGCACTTTGCGGCTAATACCAGAGGTTCAGGCAATAGTCCAGGAGAGCCGTGACCTGGATGAGATCGAGTACTACTGGTATGAGTGGCGAAAGCAGACTGGACTGGCCACTCGGGATCAGTTTGTGGCCTTCATGGAGTTGTATAAGAAGACCGCCCAACTTAATGGATATCCGCGGGCCCAAGATTATTGGTTCCGATCGCTGGAGATGGGCGGAGCGCAGACCATGTCATTGCTGGATCGGCTGATGGCTGGACTGAGGCCGTTGTTCCTTCAGTTCCACGCTCATGTTAGGGGTTCCTTGAGAAAGATGCACGGAGAACGGTTGGTGCCCCGGGGCAGACCGTATCCACAGCATCTGGCCGAGGTCTTCATAGGAAACGCCTTTAGACGGGTTCGTGCCGAGTGGTATGTGGACTTACCATCGCCCCTGGCGGGGCTGGCAAATATCACCCAAGACCTCCATCGTCGCGGGTTGAGCACTACGCAGAGAGTGTTCTGGAATGTGGCCGAGTACTTTAGGGGACTTGGTCTGCCATTGCTGGAAAGGTAATTCCGATAAAACAGATATTCTCCAGCAAGGAATTTTCAAAGTGATCTCTTCCAGCTCCCTTTGGACAAATGCTCAGGTCGTGGCTGCTGATGATGACGACCGTTGCTGGCACAAGGTCTGGCGGTATTACACCCTTCCCATAACCAACTTCACCTACTGTCCCCTAAATGACGAGGAGCGTTTCCTCAATATGTTTGAGGCCCAGAGTGATCTTTATTACAACCGAGCTGCCTCCGGCCAGCCAACCCTGTTGCGCGATGAACCCTTTCCCAGCTTCGGCGATGCCATTGGCAAGTGCTTCTCCCTGGCGGCCACCTCTCCACGCTACCTTCAGAAGTTGGGCTTGCTGCAGGAGGGAAAGTGGCTCGAGTTGCCCGCTCGACTGAACCGCTTGTATGTGCACGGTCTGCGCGTGGTCTTCCTGCTGCCCGTCTTCTATGTCCTCGATCGCTATCGTGTGGAGGTCCTAAGTGGACACATCCGAGCGGACGACAACGAGGCCTACTGGCGACTGACGGAACATTACACGGGAGCGGCAGCCCCTCGGAAACGCAGTAACGAACAGTTTGACGTCCCAGCCAAGTTGCTTATGGAGGTGGATGACCAGTATGCCAGGTTGAAAGCCTATGTGGAGAATCTCCTAGCAAATGTCTTGATCAATTATCCCTTTCAGCAACATCCTGAGCACCGTTCTACAGTTTCAGCTGCTCAAGCATTACTGCACAACGACGCTTCAGTTCGGAAAGGATAACCCTAGGAAAGCTTTGGATCTCTGCGATATTTCCGACCAGCGTCAGATCGGTGCCAGTCTACAGCGTGCCATGGCACTAGGCTCATCCGTGCCCTACAGCGACGTCCTGCAGGAGTTGGTGGGTGAGCCGGAGATCAATATTGATGGGTTGTTGGCCTACTTCAAGCCCCTACACGATTGGTTGGTGCAGCAGAATCAGCTACAAAATCTGGATGTGGGTTGGGCATAGAATACATAGTATTAAAAGAAAAAATGAATTTTTTGTTTCTGAAATCCCATAAGGTTACAAAAATCAGAGTGAAACCATCGAAAATTGGGGCGTTGACTGTCAAGAGTAATGTGTTGTTGAGCCTTTGTATACGCATATCTCGGGAAAATGTTTCACTTTGGGGAAATAGGTCCTTCCCCATACTATTCTAGGGCTAGACGGTAATTGGGAAATATAGTTTATATCAGTATTTTGGTGCCCTTCTCCTACCTGGAAGTAGGGAACAGGATGTTTTTTTTACCTACTATTGAATCTTTTTCGTTTACAACGCTTCTGTTTAACAGCATTTTTATTTTTCGATGAAGATAATGAGTGGTTGGGAATTTCCAACTCAGCCTGAATGTATGAAGTATGAAGTATGCTTATTATTGAATAATAGAATTCATGTTAAAATCATATGGAAATGTAATTTTTGGAGCGTACGAGCGTACTCAATAAAATAAATTTCTAGCACCTGCGTGCTAGAGAGAGACAGAGCGAGAGAGAATGCAATTGTTTTCTTGTTTCTGGCTATAATAAATATACGATCTGGTTCAGATTTTGCATTCTAGAAGATATACTCATTCTCTACGATTTTAGTTTTCTCGTATCGTCGAAATTGTGGATGCCACAGATTTTCGCCTTTTGTGGGGCGGAAGTGGGCGGGGCGAAGTTTTGAAATATTCTTGTAGCAGTGACATATTACAGAAGTCTGGATCCAAAACATCGTTGCTCTAGCTCTTATAGTCTTTGAGCACTAGGCGCTGAAGGGGACGGACAGACGGACAGACATGGCTCAATCGACTCGGCTATTGATGCTGATCAAGAATATATATACTTTATGGGGTCGGAAACGATTCCTTCTGGACGTTACACACATCCATTTTCACCACAAATCTAATATACCCCAATACTCATTTGAGTATCGGGTAAAAAATATAAAGGCAGAGAAGAAGGTCCGGTCCAGCACTATATTTTTGGCAGACAGTTAACGAATATCACTACGTTGCTGTGATTTGATCCCGAATTTTCGCAGAATTTGACGGCCTTCCAATTTTTGTTGCGACACATACGGGGATCGCGCCCGCATAGCGACTGATGAGCTGATCTTCTTCCCCTCCCGCTCTGTGCTGTTCGGCCTAAGCGATAAATCCTTCATCGTTACCGGAAGTCCTAATATCAGGGAAATTTGTTGTTGCGAGCTTTCGCAGGTAGCTTTCGTGTTTCCAACTAGGTAACAAAAGTCTGCGCGAATTTTAAGCTGGTACTAACCGACAGCGCACACCCAGCGATATGCGACCACGCCGCCGCAGGCCCCCCTACACCCCGGCCACCACCTGAAACGGAAGTGGTCCATGAAACAGATGCATTACAACAATAACAACCACAACATCTTTCTGAGACTATGCGGTGCTCTATGTGTGAGTTTTCTCTATTCTCTCACCAACACCAACACCAGCCTCCCCTCCACCAGAGCGTTAACAGCCACTGTAGTGGCTATCGTAGCCACTAAAATTTCATTCTGAATTCTTATGAAGTCTTCATTTTCTGCAGCACGAGGGCGTTTTACCATTGGGATACTCAGCCGCATTCCATTTCCCCAAGAAACAAACGATATGTAAATACGACTACATTAAGCGATAATAACAAATATTTAATTCAAAGCCAACAATAGCCGAGTCGATATAGCCGTTTCTGTCCATCCTTCCGTTTGCCGTCTTGCTTGACGCCTAGATCTCAAGGACTATAAAAGCTAGCGCAACCAATTTTAGTGATATCTTCTGTGATATCACACTAAATCAAGTTTGTTTTAAGATTTTTGGTCTAGCGATCGGAACCAATAATCCTCGGCCCGCGGATATCCATTGAGCTGGGCGGTATTCTTATACAACTTCATTAAGGCCACAAACTGATCCCGAGTGGCCAGTCCAGTGCGTTGTCGCCACTCAAGCCAGTAGTACTCGATCTCATCCAGGTCACGGCTCTCCTGGAATATTGCCTGAACCTCTGGTATTAGCCGCAGGGTTCCATTTTTTGGCTGCTTATAAGCGCAATGTAGGACGTTGCGGTAGCTGTCGCTCATGTTGGAGGCGAGCGCATTAACTTGAGTGAGCTCCATGCCATCCAAGGCATCGTAGCCCAGCCTCGGTATCCTCTCCAGCTGCCTCTTCTGGCTGGCATCCCCCAACTTCAAACGCTTGAACTTGAGATGCCAGATGAGGCATCAGAGATTTTAGGTAGTTCAGCAGCTTTTCGTCCGCTATTTCCATCTCGAGGAGAGCTACAACATCGTTGGATCCACGTAACTCATTCTGCAACTGGGCCAAGACCACCTGATCATAGATTCCGGCCAGTTGTTTGTTAGCCTCGACGAGGAAGGTGGTCAAAGAAGAGTAATAAACTAACTTAAGTGTTTTCGACCAACGGAGCAACTCCATCCTCGCATTTTTAGATACGGTTGTATTTTAA